TATGCAGAAAATCGACTGCGAACCGGATATCATACTTTGGCCGATGTTGAAGATGTCATTTGCTTATGATTTTTCTTTTTATATTCTTTTTACGGTTTATAGCAAATGACCGCCTTGCGAAAGGCAAGAAATCAATAAATTTTATTATCACGATAACTAATTAGCGTGAAATGTTGTCAGCGTATGTCTGGAAATAAATGTATGAATATCAAATAATATTTAATTTGATAAATAAAATAAACTTGCGATAATGTTTGCATAATTAATATTTTTAAGTGTTGTTTTTTAAGAAAAATTTCGTAAACTAAACAAAAATTTTATTTACAATAATGATTATTGAAGTATATATAGAAAGTTTGACATGTTAAAACAAAGAAACTATTATTCCGAATCGATTGTTTCTCTTGCAAAACTTTTATTCTACTTTCTGACATTTTTTCTGCTTTTGGAAAATAAAATATTTTTGATATTAAACCATAAATAATGCAACAACATAATGAGGTGTGCAAATGAATAGAAATCAGATATTATTAAAAAAACTTTGGCTGAAAAATATTCAAAGAAATTACCAATTGTGAAACGTGTTCAAGAGATTACCAATCATCGTAAAGCGTAGTATAATGCCCACTAATTATCTTCGCGCACACTAAAAAAGCTTTTGCATACAAAAAACGTTTTCAATCAAAAAATACTTTTACGACAAACATACTACAACATTAACGACGATTGAATCCACGATGCCCGAACATCGATTTCTGTAAGTCGACTTCTCGTCTCTCATACGCGTCAGAGAGAAAAAAGAACTGAAGATCGTTGAACTTTGAACCGCGGAGAGTTCTTACAAGTCGTGGTGTTGGACGTTCCCGCGGGAATAGGTGCATCCGGTTCATCGTCGTCGCTCGATGATGCCCGGTTGGTGGTCCGTTGTCTCGTCTGAGACACACTATGCCCACGTTACTCCCATATCGCATCTGCCTGCATCGCGAGAGCACACACTCGACGATGGGGAAACATCGACCTCCGTTGCATCGCCAGGAGGGACAGTGTATCCTCTCAAGGACCGTGTATCAAGGACCGTGGTACCGTGACTTCGAACCTGCCGTGGGTCGAAGATCACGAAGTCCTTGACTCGTGAGTTCTGTCTTGCGCGGTAACGTAGAACGAATTCGCGGGAATCGATGATTCTTCATTAAGAAGACGTCGTGAACTGAGCATGGCGCTGTGTTCCCGCGCGAGGCAACGACCGTGCTTTAATTATGTACCTTTCGAAGAGGGTTGTACATTCGTTCTTGCGGCTGTTATTTTAGCATCACCGATTATTTCAGCAAGTATATATCAAGCTTTCGCTCTTTATTATAAAAATAGATTGAAGGAATTTAATTCTTTTTCTTCTTCTATGTGATAAGCATGGCTAATGAAAGGATGAGGTACTTTTCCTCTCTCTCTTTCTGCGAATTATAATTTTTTATTTGTGGCACCGTCACTATATTTATGAACATGTGCATACAAAATAATTGCAGTAATTTGAAGAAAAAAAGTATGACGATGTCTTTTTTAAATAATAATAAATAATAAATTTTCTTGTGATTTACCTAAAATTATCTAGAAAGCATTTGCCGGTGTCGCATATAATTGGAAGATTTAGATCTTTCAACAATTCCTGAATTAAAAATCTGAATTAATATCTAATAATCTACTCGCTCGGTTTCGCGCTATAAAACTCAGCATCGGTGCTGATTCAGCATTAAGCGGATCCGTGTACATTTTGAGCACGTGTAAGATAAGCGGTTTCGCAGACTTCGCAACGACACTTCTCGGTCGTGCAAAAGAAGAAAAAGAGAGAAAGAGCCTTCAACTTTTCTCGCGTGCTGTGTCGACTGGTTACTCGACGTCCGCTCGTGGGATTATCGCGAATCGAGATTTACGGGGCGAGGGCATCCCCCCACAGCAGGATAACGCGACGACCGCGGTCCGGTAATAGCCGAGCGATCCTATTACGCCGCGAAGTCGAAGGGACTACCGTTGTCGAGATGGTACCGACGTGTCGGCGGCAGCCAATTAGCAACCGAAATGTTCGTATTATGCTGTAGAATTTCTCACTGGTTATTTTTACAACGCAACTTTGTATTTTATGGCTTTAATGCTTGAAAGATCCATAATATTCGACAATGTTACATACATTAAAGTCTTTTTTTTTGTACATCAAACGAATTACAATCTGTTCAATATATTCAGTAGTTAGAAAACTGCGTGAAAACGTGTGGTATTCGCGAGATTGCAAATTTTTTTTTAATATGTACAGATTTTATATAAATTTACTTCTTTTAAATAATTTTTCTATATAAATTGTTTTCATAATAAATCAAATTTAATTTTCTATGATTGTTGTTGCTATATTGAATGTGATGAAACAGTTGTGTATTATTTTTTAACAAGTTTATCAGATATAAAGCTATTAAAAAGCTATTTTTATTTGAGGAAGTTAACATTTTTTATATTATTTCTTAAAATTTTCATTCTTTTCATTTTGTTATTTTATTTTGAAGTTTGTCTTTACTTTTTTTAATATTACGAAGCTTTTACAGCGCATTTTATTTTTAGCACAGCGCATTTTGCTTATGAAGTTTGGTCGGATAAAAAATGAAGGATCTTTCAGGATGTGAAAAAGGGCTTCTACACGACAATCTAGGATTGATGTCTATTACACGTGATCCTCGTGTTATCTTGAATTATGTTCTTTATAAGCCTTCGTGATTTTTTTCATCACGTTTCTCATCCGGAGCTTCTGCTAATCGCAGATGACAATAATGCTTTTCTCGCGCTTGTTATTTCTTAAGGAAAAAATATTACAAGAAATCAACATTTATTACAGAAATTAACATCTGTTGCACGAAGCGGGGTGGAAACGAGAATTTGAGAAATATTAATATAACCTCTTTCCACTTTCGACGAAGTTAAACTCAGTTTTCTGACGCTGAAACGCTGCGCTTGCTGAATTTAATCGGGATTATCTATATATAAATAATAATCTCAGCTAACTTGTGCAATTAGCAAGCAAACAAGATGTAGATATAACGACTGGGTCGGCAATTAATTCTGACTGGCATCAGATAGTTAGTGCAATCTCAAGCAGATATGGAAACTTCATCCTCTTTACAATTCCGGATACGTAATCATTGTTCTACCGCGTACGCGACTTAATTTGATTAGAGTCGTGAACATAACGACGTATTGTACTTTCTGCTTTCTCCTATGTTATACTTATTTTACATAATTTAAATATAAAAATAGTCACAAGCCTTTTATATAATTAGCGATAGTTTCTTTTGGTACGTGTGTGGGTGTTCAACATACAAAAAAAGAAATATACTACAGAAAGCAGTGACATATCTTTTCTCTCATTTCTTTTTAAATTTTGTATAATTATGATAAGGCAAAAATAATTATATTATAAACTTTATCAATAACTTTTTTCTATACTTTAATTCATTTTTTACTGTTTCAAAAATATCTCACTGTTGTAAGCGATTTTTTGATGTCGGCAATGTATCGATTCCCGGGTTATTTGTTTTGCTAACGAAAATTATATGTAAATAACATAAATTTACAAATAACTTTGAATTTTGATATATAGCACGTAGTAAATATTTATTTGGATCAAAAAAATCATTTACTTGAATTAAGTAAATATTTATTTCGACCTAGGAAATATTTATTTAGACTAAGTAAATATTTATTTGACTCAAGTAAATGATTTTTTTGATTCAAGTAAATAATTTTGTTAATTTTTGATAATAATATTTTTAATTATATCTTTATGTGTTCTTGAGAACGTGTTTCCACGTATTCCGGACGATAATTTATGCCATAATCATTTGTCAGGCGTGCATTTGCATCCTTTTTACAGTTTAATCGTCTACTCCGATGCAATCATTGTGATAGTTCCCAGGATTACGAATTAGAAAGTCACCGGGTCCCAATCCCGAGCATGATTAGAAGCGCGATTCAATGTCGACGCACATTTCTTTTTCCGTGAAAGCGGCTGGTTTCTCATTTTAGACCGCCGCCTCGGAGATTCGCCGGAAATCGTCACGGCAGTAGTGCCCGCGGCACGAAAAGCGCGAGAGTACTCGGGAACAATGATGTCGTGGTGGTAGAAATTGTTCACGGTAATCATCGTGTGGACGTACTTCTGGTGAACGGCTTGCTACCATGAGTAACAAAAGACACTCACTGCCTTCTTGCCACGAAGTTCCGGAGTGTAGTCTTCCTCTCCATTAGAACTCCAGAAATAAATTGTGCGCAATATCGTGCAATATCATGTGTCATTATCAGACTTTGGTAAAATCCTGTGTAACATTCTTGTAAAGAAAGAAAAGTTAATACAAATTTATTATCTTTTTTAATTTTGCTACAATTTTTTTTTTTTTTTTAACCAAGTTATGCGATTTTGAAACTAAACTTGCATTTTTTATGCCAATACTAATGCCGTAAACATTATTTTTTACAAAGTATATATTGGTTTCAAAGTCATGTAACTTCGATCAAAAAATCGTAGCAAAGTTTTAAAAGTGCATTTTATAAATAAAATGTTGTACTTTTTGATACTTGTTATAAACTTTGCGAGAAAAATTTTTTTATCAAACTGCAGAGTATTAAAGTATGGAAGTATTGAAACGACGTAACTTTAAGAACAAAATAGTTCCTTTTTTGAGCTCAAAACTGTAATATAACTGTATATAACATTTGATAGACCTAGAATTTACATTTTCTTTACTACAATTGCATTGAAATCTTATATTTTAGAAAAAAATGATTTAAAATGTTAAAATGTACGTTTTATTCATTTTTGTGCTTTAGAATCTTATGTCAAAACATTTGGTAGGCCTAGCGCGTTGGAATACATTTTTTCACTGCGATACATTGAAATCTTATACTTTAAAAAGAGAAATAAACTAGATTTTTTGTCAAAATGAATAAAATGTACATTTTCATTACAGATGGCCAGTATAGAAGTGTCGCTTTCGACAACGCCGAGGCGAAAAAAGGGTGGCAGTATTTCCGGAGGCGTTACGTCTCCCGCTGGTCACCGGAACAGAGATCATTATAAAGAACTGGACGCTCTCCGTGTCGCTCTGCGCGATAAAGAAAACATCATACAGACGTGAGTTATTGCTTGATCACATCCTTGAAATGCATGGTCAGCATTAAGGGAGATTCGCAGAGTACAGCAATTGATCACGTTTCATTTCTTTATTATAATGATTGCGTGTGATAATAAATGAGCAATAGACAACGAGCACACATACAGACAGACTTGATATTCGTTGAAAAAAGAATGTAAGAACCGGATTTCTATAAGCAAACACGATCGCACAATCTAAATTTCTTGTTAGAAATAGTACATTAAAACTTTTCAGAGTTAATTGGTTGGCAGAATTTCTTTATACTTTTGATATTAAAAGAGACATATATGAGATATATAAACTACATATATGAGATATATAATATAATAATACTAATTATTGGTAGAATATTCAATATGATTAAAACTACTATCTTTAGATAAGCAGCTTCCATTAATTTATTTTATTATTAAATGATCTATAATTGTTAATTAGTTTAATTACTGAGAGTTATCCAATACCCGCGCAAATATTTAATGAAGATAGAGCGATTAGAGAAATAGACAAATTTACCAAAATAAAAAAATGAAAATTTTCAGCAAAATAATTGTATTTGATTTTATTTAAAAATTATAGGATATTTTAAATGTTTTTATTGGTGGTGCATAAAAAAATTAAAAGATTTAATCTTCTTTTTACGTAGGGTGACAAAAATAGACAGTTCTGGCAGAATAAAAAGCTTCTTAGAGATCTGTTGGATCTCAATGCGCATTTCTAAGAGATCGAGAGGTGCAGATAATAGAAAAGAAAGACGTTTTCTTCCTAGTCACGATACGGTATTCGTACCTCTTGTTACTTTTCAGGCTCAAGGGCCAGCTCTGCAACACGCTGAGCAATAGACTGGCATTACGCAACGGCGCGCCACCCTTGACCGAGGCCGACAGGAAAGCAGCGGAGGAACGGCTTCAAAGGTTGCGACGGGACGCCGACAATAAGCGACTGGCTATTAAGAATCTGAAGCTAGCACTCGAGCGTCTCGACATCACGGAGTGAGTATGAAATCAAGATTTCCGTGTGCTCATTTAACACGTTGATTACCATGCGATTCGCCGAAAGTTCTATCAAATCACGTTTATACAAATTAAATAAGATTATCATTTTCTATGCGGGTGACGCGGACTCCAAGTGAAATACATCTTTATACGAATGATGTGGCAGTTAACACGTTAATCGTATTATCGTGAATTACAATTATCAATACTGCGATGCATATCACTATGAATACGATCGCATCTTTCAAGCAATATCTAGTATGGATAAAACCGGTTTTATCAATGTAATTGTAGTGATACAATTTTTAGACCATTGTAGATTAATGATCTACAATTTAGACTATTAGGAAATTTAATAAAGATAAGGAAATAAAGAAAACATGCAAATTGATAAGCTAATAAGAAATTTAAAATAATAAAGTAATAAAAAATTATTATTTTCTTATATGTATATATTATATATATATATATATTATATTATTTTTGTACATTGAATAAAAATATTAATTTATACATAAGATATATAAAAATACGATAATATGAATATATTGCATTGGTACAATTGAAAAAATATATTTTGTAGAAAACATAAAATTATTAAACGCAAAAGATAATCTGCAACAAAATAGTCAAGAGACTTGAAAAATTTTCAATAAACTTATAAATTGTTATAATATATAATAAAGAAAATGATTATTAAAATTATACTTTATCTTTTTATTTAGTTTTGTAATGTGTATATTTGAAATGTTTATTACAGTAATATCGATGTCCGAATACAACAAGCAGAATTGGAGTACAGACTAGGCCGCGAAGAACTCGAGTTGCTGACTCTTCACGAGGAGAGCAGAGCTCTCCAAACCGCTGTAGAGTTGGCCGAAACTCAAGAAAAGCAAAAGAATGATACAATATTCAGGTACACACTTTTCATCTGTTCTATTCACTCATAACAAGGATTGATTGACGAGAACAAACACATTCTTTGATATAATTTTTACTTATATACAATGCATTTAAAGTACTGTAATTTATTTATTTTTTTTAAATTCTATTTTTAGTTCCTTATTGATTTTTTTTCTTGCATTGAAAGTGAATGGTGACATGCGCAAAAATTAATTTATTTCAATATATAGTATAAGAAAAGCTTGACACGCTTCCTCGCTTCTGACGTCATAATTCAATGTAACTGCGATGAAAAAGGAAGAGTCCTGAATTGGAGTTAATTATATCTTTACAAAAATTTAATTAGGGCTCTTTATTTCTACAATATTTTATCACTTAAATTATTTTGTATTATTAAATTTATTTCGATGAATAAGTTATATGCTGTTTAAAATTGATTAAAAAATAAAATTTTACTGGTTTATTCTTATTCTTTTCAACATGACTTGCGTTCACATCAATCACTTTGCTTGCAGCTGCATTTCCGGTTCGACACAAGTCACGATTCACGCGGTGGAAGTCAGCGCAGATCCGAAAAGTCCTCGTTTCGGGGCTGGGCCCAGAGACGACGCAACTGGTCTTTACGTCGATTGGGCCGTGGAAGATTCCGGTCTTTGCAAGGGAGACAGGTTCGTATTATTATACTGCACGGGATTCGCGAGTCATTGAATAAACATCGCGCAACTGCGCTCCGCCGACAAATAAAACATTCTGAAATCTGTAGATTTTCATTCTGCACATTTTCATTCCGCATTCGACTCACGTAACAATATTCTGTCCGCGAGTGTCCATTTATTTTATCTTGTTTATCGTACTTGTGGAAACTCGATGTATAAGATGCATTCCGCAAAATAAGCAACTTTAAGAGTATATTCTTTATGAGAAATATAAAAGTAATCTGTTGTAGATTTATTTAAATTTATAATATGTTAGTTTCAAATGACTTTATTTTAATCGTGAATTTATCTGAAAGGATTCATAAAAATCTATAAACTGAACCGTCTGAATCCAATTTGCTTTTTATTCTAATGAGTAAAAAGTTGCGGAAATCCGGCTGCACATATATTTACGATTTTAATTTACAACTATTTACAAGATTGGTCGACAGAAAAAACGATAACTAAATATTACGCCACGCATGTAATCACGATGTAACTATTACGCCGGCCACAAATTTCCTGGACGCATAAAACTGCGCGGAGCTGTAAATCGCTAACATTGACCGTTTTGTTTTACTGCTCTCCTCCTCATGGATGTTACAACAACGCGAACGAGACACTCCTCCACGCTTCTGTGAAAGGTTGATGATCGTATACGTAGCTCCGAGAGCGAAATAACCGTTCCATTTCACGCGCTCTTTAATCATCGTTCAACAGGAGCAAAAAACAGCTGTTTTTCTGTCGACATTCGTCGTAACTCTACGCGCTACTCTCGTAGAGAATTTATGGTCCGAAACTACATCGTTTCTCGATGAATTATAAAACTATTACTATCAAAATTCTAATTTATTACAACTCGTAATTCCCAAGCTTATGTAATTTGCAATTGAATTAAACTTGCTACTTTGATCATAAAAATTGAAATTTTCGGATACTTTTTCTTGGTAACAAGAACTAACTGAACATCATTCAATATGCACTAGTTCCCAAACAACGAGTCGCATATCTTGGCCAAAAAAATTGTAACAAAGTTTAAAAAAATGTATTTTGTAAGTAAAATGCTGTAATTTTCTACATTTGTCATAAATTTTGTAAGAAAAATTTTTTTATTAAACTATAGAGTATTGAAAGTATTGAAAAACATAACTTTGAAAACAAAACAGTGTTCGGGTTTTTTCAGACTGAGAATTGTAAAAATAAAAAATTTTCAAAAACGGCCAAAAGCAAATAAAAGTACAAATTTCAAGCTTCAAAATGCTTTCTAAATTTTTTATCTTTGTTGATTTTTTGCCGAGTTTCAGCGGTTTCAAATTGCTCAGTTTTGAACGTCTAAAAATGTCCTCTATTTTTTGTGGAGTTCTGTAGTTCAGAAAATTATTTGTAATGTTATTTTTCAAATTATTATACTGAACATTGGAAAAAGCTTTATTTAATTATTTAATAAACTATTTTAAGTAATTCTATTTATAATTAAAAATCTATAACTGAACTTTATACATTAAGTACAATTTATGAATGAAGGTAGCAATGTAAATTAAATGTAAAATTAAAATATTTTAATTTTAATGTTAACTTGCTATATTTAACATATAAAAAATTTTTTCTTCGGCTTTTCTTCTTAGGTGTGATTTCTTTATTGATTGACTAAGAGATTTAAATGAAAGAACTTGGAAATCGGAGAGAGAGAGAGAATTCAAGAACGCTCTTAATTCAAACATAGCCCCTGTTAGCTTCGGAACAACGAAGGAAGGGTGTCGGGGAATCATACTGTTTGTACGACGGTACAGTGCTACGTAACGTGGCTATCAGGGAAGAACAATGCAGCAATCTTGACATTCGGTTCCCAACGGGTCGCTGTAGCGTGAAGCAGCACCGGAAGTTCGCCGTGTGCCCTCGCTAATTGCACCCACGACTTCACATGACCCTACCTTCTACTATTTTCCCTAGTATATTCACTGACAGGAATTTACTATGCCAAGCACGACTAGCGTTACAAAATTGTCTGAATCGACCACTTAAAAATGTGTATTTAATTTGAGCTTTTCAATTTAAAGCATTCGATAGGGATGTATTAAATTTTGGACAAGTTGTATTCATCTCAGTTTAATTGTATAATATGAGTATGGAATAGAATTATTATAAATCATAGTAAAATTAAGATTAATTTCCACTCTCAATAAACTTAAAAAAATATCGAGAATTATATTCTTTAATAAGATAATTAACATAAATTTTTAAAGCATTATATATCCTGTTTTCCGAAAAATAATGTATAACGGAAGATCCTTATCTCGTGGGACGCATTGCGAGAAAACGTGCGCTGCCGACAGACCGGCACAAAAAAATTTTAATTATTGTTAGCTTCTGAGGGAAGCTCGTTCTTCTAATCAAAAATAAAACAATGATTAAATAAGGCAATATTTTTTTCAGGATTTTGGAGGTAAACGGAAAACTGGTGGTAGGAGCAGGTAGGAGCGATCTGGCGCGACTTCTGGCTGTTGCACCCGACGCTGCGCAAATAGTAGTTCTTCGAAAAGGCGAATCTCTTGCGGCATTGCGTACGCTTCGTTCTGATAATCTTAGATTGACGCACAGAATCGGTTATCTCGAGGAACAAGTAAGAGATCTTTTAGCACCGAGCAGAACTGAGGTCCCTGCCGAAGATCCGCCACCGAATCGTCAAGAACATGTGCAGGTTGGCGCATTTCGATTGTTAAAACAAATTGCCGAATTTTGGAGGCAAACATTCATATCAATGAGCATTAAGCAATAATTTATTGAATTTGAGTTGGATCGTGATCATCTATCAAAATTCTACATTTTTATATCTATTTTTTTATGAATTATTATTTAGAAATTAATAGATAAAAATATGACAAGAACAATATATAAGAGCACAAATTAATAATAAGCGGATCATAGCTATTAAATAGATAAAAATGATTAGAACTTAATTTAAATTCTTTCACAGTCTTCGATATATTATCTTTGATAATAAAAGTCTCTGTATATGAATCTTTCAGTTTTAAATACTTTAATAATTAAATTTAGTCATAAAATATTCGCTAAGAAAAATCGTCGATTAAATAAGGCAATAAGTAGCAGAAATTATTATTATTAGAATACTATTGCATATGCACTTTTTAGATAAGTTTTTGTGAAAATTAGTTCTTGATTTAAGAGCTAAATTTCTTTATTCATTTAAGAGTTGTTTTAAATTTTTGGAAATTTGGATAGGTCTTCCAGAAAGGTCCTCAAGTGACAGCGCTGGTGGCGAATTTACCCGGTCTCAACGTAAAAAGTTGTACAGAATTACGACAAAGTTTGCCGACTGTCAGAAGCAGGCACAGCGATCATTCCAGACGTCTAACAGACTCGAAAAATCCGCGTGAACTCGACTTCTCATCCGACGGAGTCGCGAACAGCCATCACAAGTCCCGAAACAGACAAAAACATCAGGGACTCCAGCTGGCAAGGTCGACAGCCAGTCTCGATTGCAAACAGTCGCCGATGCAATCGCAAATGCAACGTCGAAGATCGCCACGCGTCGAGTCTGCTATGGAGCACTTGCATAAAAGTCGTAGAAACAGCTCTCAACTGCAATCTCTAGAATTCGACTCTGAGCCAACTTATTATCGCTTACAGGTATTCGTGCATAACATGTTATTTGAAGAGTTTAATGTAAAGTTTGAATTTTTTTTGAAAATTCTTAGATCGCTATATACAATATAAATGTCAGTCGGTGCATATGATTTTTTTTCTTATTTAATAAACAAAATAATTTGTAAAGATATTTAATTATTCTTTTATAATTGATTATCTTTTTAAATTGTATTCACTTTTGTATATCTATATGTACAATCCTCTATCTTATTTACAGGATACCCAATCTCGCGTGTCGGAAAATTCGGAAGCATCGATGGCGTACAGCTGCCAGGAAACGAAGACTCGTCCGGCGCCGCCAAAGAAGCCGTTGCGTCTCTCCTTGCATCGCGCGGCGAGTCTTCAATCTGTGGAAAGCGCACCACCAACCGCGCCGCAGCATGATGTGACACGGAAGCCGACGAAGAGAAACCACCGCGGCGATCCGCCCATGGAGAAGAACGTACCTCGACGCGAAATGAATGGGGACGCAAGCTTGCAGGAATCTCATGTTAGCCCGCCGCAACCGCCCCCGAGAACACCCTCCAGAGCGGAATCGTGCCAAAGCGCGCTGCGGTGGCCCTCTCCGAAGCCGAGACCTCATTTAACGTCCGTGCCGATGGAGAAATGGTGCTGAACATTCGCACGGATAGCATTTCTCGAACGAGAAAGCGAGAAAAGGAACGATAGCTGGAAATATTTCTCGAAATACGTGAAAATTGCCGAAGCACATATCAAACATAGTTATATACAGTTATTTTTCTATCTGCCTTGATATTATAAATTGCGAGAAGAATGCATGAAGATGTATCTAATGGATCTTTGAGACGCACATAGTTTAAATTGATTATATATAGTTACGAACTAGTAATGTGTTAAAAAAAGAGTTCGATTGCTTTATTAAATTTCATGACTAGCACATTCCATCGAATCAAGATTAGTTTTAAGTGTACAATATAAGACCCATTTATGCACGATGTAATATCATAATATTACATCGAGAATATATATGTCATGTTGCGAGAAAAATTAGAATTTAATTAGAAGTTAATTAGAATTTTTTAAAGATTAATATGTCTGTGACGAAATTCTAATATATCTTTGCATTAAATTTTGCACTTGCTCATTTTCTAAACTAAAATATTTATCTTATCCGAAAGAATGAAAAGACATAAGACTGATAAATCATATCTGTTACGGATAATACTTTGGACAAATCTAGTGGCAAATAAACTGTACAAATCCATAAAATGCGCGCCTGGAACTTCTAATTTACATGTTTTATATAAACGTTCTAATTTTTATTTTAAAAAATTCTAGTAATTAGCAAAAACAATATTTAATATTCTTCAAAAGAGCATTACAATTCTTTTTCATTTTTTAATAAATTGAAAGCTTTAAAATCAATGCTCAGTCGTTAAATTTAATTTGCTAAATGTGCATTGTGGTTGCAATAATTAATTTAATTGTTCAATTTCCAGGAAAGACGTAATGTATTTGCTGATGCAATGCTATATATAGAAATGATAAATAATATTGCAATTTTACAACAGAATTAACGTACAATTCTATTTTAGTTAAATGTATAAATGTATAAAGTTATAATAACCTAATTTTAGAATAAACTAATAATAAAAACTTTGAGTACAATGTATTCTATAAATATCATATATTTGTTTTGCGTTTATTTTATAATTACCAATTATGTATTGCGATGGTTTATAACATGGTTTTTCCGAGCCCCGCGAATCTAATACGTGCGAATGTCAAATATATCTATAATCACAAAATGTATGATATCGCTTAAAGAAATAAAGATAAATCTGAATTAGCAGATATTAGTATTTCAACTTAGTGATCATTGTGTATTAACACGAATGTGTATTAACCTAACTGCTTATAAGGGCTGATAATGAAAAAGATTAACATTACGTCAAAATAAAATTTCGTGCATTAAACCGCGTACATTAAAATATATACTTATAACTTTTACTTGTAGAACCAATACTATTACAAACTAAGCTGTATATGGTGTTTGCAAATTATTTTTAATAGTAATAGTATGCGCAATAGTGGTACGTTAATACAAATCTAAAGATTCTCATTTCTTAAAATTACTAGTCCTATCGTTGCTTACGATAATGTATTCGATGAAATGCGCATTAATATGTTATACACAATGTACAACACTATTTAGATTTAAGAACTGTATCGTATGTTATATTTGTCAGTAAAAATAAAAGTTTTTTTAGGAAAATTATTATGACAAATTATTTCTAAACTCGCGATAAGATTACAAGATAGATTATTTACTAAAAATATATAAACATATTTATTTTAAAAAATAGTAAGAGATAATCAACTTTATCTACACTATCATTTCGACATACATTCGCGGCAAAGTCGTGCCGCGAGGGCATGCAACTGTAACAAGCTATTGATACCTTCCACTATTCCCATATGTGTTAACCCAATTTCCTGTAAATTAATGTTAAAATATTTTTAAAATTATATTTAATTATATAAAACTGAAATAATTGTATGATTCTAATTTCAATGCAAGATAATATCACATGCAATTTACCTTGACAAATTTCAGTTTTAACTGTTCATCCATAGTGTGATTTTTACAAACTTTAAATATATTACTGATTATATCTTCCGCAGAGTATCCCATTTTCCAGAAATGATCCATTACCTAATTATAAGTAAATATAATATGAGTTCAGTTTATGTGATATATATATATATATCTGGACAAAATAAGTAGCATCAAATACTTTACCGTGCATGCTTTAGAAACGTCTCCTTTTATGCAATCATCCAACATTTCTTTAACAATTAAAGGATGAGGTTCATCGCAGACTTTAAATACATTTTCACCATTCACATGATTGAAACCATTATGTGTAGACTGCAGATTATTCAAGGCTTGTCTCATATCTCCTTGGGCTGTGAATACTATTGCTTCCATACCGTCATCTGTATAAGATAACTGCAAACAATAACTTTGTGTAAGTTAGAGAATTTATTTTGATGGCAGTAATATTTTAATTACATTTTCTTTCCCGCAAACTTCAAGCACTTTTGCTAGAATTTGGGCATCTGTTAACTTTCCATATCTTAACATAGCACATCGTGACTGTATAGGTTCGATGATCTCCTCTGTGTTGTTACATGCAAGAGCAAATCTGGTTGTATGGCTGTAAATCTCCATTGTTCGGCGTAATGCCTGCTGCGCACCGTCAGTCATACTGTCAGCCTCGTCTAAAATAATAATCTTATGTTTTCCTTTTGGTAGATTAACCTGCAATAAAAAAAATTATATAGAAATATAGAGTAACTTAAAGAAACTTATGTCACAATATAATCTACACATTACCTTTTTTTGAGCAAACATTTTAATTTTGTTCCTAACTACATCTATTCCTCTCTCATTCGAAGCATTTAGTTCAAGCACAGCTTCTTTAAATGCTGGTCCTAATAGGGTACGTGCCAAACATAAAATGGTAGTAGTTTTACCTACTCCAGGTGGACCAGCAATAATAATATTTGGAGTATTTCCATGTTGAGCAAAAACAGCTAATCTGGATACAGTGTCTTCATTGCCAACAATGTCAGAAAATACTTGCGGCCGATATTTTTCTATCCTAAAACATCAATAATAATATAATAGTCTATATGTTATATCAAAAATTAAATCATTAAAGAAATTTTTAGATAATTAATTAATATTTTAAATGTCAATCTAAATATTGTTATTTCTTTTGCATTACAACCAATAAGTAAGAAATTGCTTAAATATTTTAGTTTAGTTTAACATTAATTTAAAATATTAGAAATGTATTGTCATGATATATAAAAATTATATGCTACTGTCAAAATGTATGACTAGATTGTAGAGTATTCTAAATCTTGTTATTTATTTAAATCTAAACTGCTTTTGTTTTATGCAAAAAACTAAAATTTAGACAAGAATTAAAGATAACCTAGCACACAGTAATTCTAAAACAATCATAAAACAAATCTTTTGCAAGAGTAAAACATACCATGGTAAATTTAAAGATTTACTATCCTTTTCTTTAATTTTTGTGTCACCATTGCTTGTAGATGGTAAAACCTCAATCTCCATGGTTTAATTACACAAAATCATCCCCTAAATCTTTTAATTTATACCTGTTTACACCGGCATATGATCAAAAACGCGGGAAATGTCAGACAAGAAAGACCACAGAGACTTCTCTCGGAGTTAGAATAAACTTAAACTATTTTTAGTCAAGACTCAAACCATTTTAGCCAAGATTTGAACCAAATGGTTTAAGGTAGCTTACGCATGTGTGCGGTATCTCCTCCGTTCATGCTGCTTGCTTCTTGCGTCTCAAATCTGGCCATACTGATTCGGATCAGCAATTCATTTTATTATGTTTTATTCCTTATTGAATTACAAATATTTTACAGATAATCAAATCTGCATTGTGTTCTTTTTAGTTCTATTAAAGCATAATTATAGAATAATTTATGTGTACTCAATTACAAAATAATATATATATAATATATAATAATATATAATATATAATAATAATATATATATTACAAATATTATATATTTAAATCAATGTATTTATTAGTTTAAGCACAACCAGTTTATAAATATAAGTACTTTTATACATAAAATATAGATATATATACACTATGATAAATTTTTATATACTGATTTTCTTATAATAAGAATGAGAGTATAATTACATAAGTGTAGTCATAAATTAATTAAATAATAGATATAAAATTTGATACTGCAGCTGTCTTAAATGTTCTTTTTTAGAATTACATTATTTATGTACAGTCTCTACAATGTGTAGTAGTATAGAACTTTTCAGAAGGAAAGTCAGTTTTTATAAAACAAATTCTTATATCGAGATAGCTGTAGCTCTGACAGCAGCGCTTAATAAAGGATTTGGGTCTGGTTCTTCCGTTAAAATGTTTACTTTGGCCCACTCGCGTTGTTTATTGCTTTGTCGCAGCGCATCAATAACTGCTTGCACATACAGGCCATCTTCAAATGTAGATGCAGAGAAAACCGGCTCTTTAATCCAACCTCTCTTATCTTCCACAGATTGAAAAGCTTCCCTTAATGCTGTGATCATTTTTCTAAGTCCTTTAACATAAGGCCTGGGAATAGAATCTGCAAGGGGTAACGATATCCCTTGTAAATCATCTGTATCGCGATACAGGACTTCCTCTTGTCCATTGCGACATCCATATAAGTCTCCATCACGCACAACCAAATGATTTCCACCGCCGCATATTAACACTTCTTGAGAAAGCTGTCCTTGCAAATGATTGCTTAAAGTAGCTGTTACCAAGGTACCACCGCTCAGTTCCATTTGAAAGCTACAGAAATCTGGTGATGTGACATGCCTGATTCCATTAATGTATTTGGTCGTTTGAGTAAACGTTCTTACAACAGCATGTACTCGTGAAGCACGTTGACCCATCAAATGAAAGATCAAATCTATAACGTGACTGCCCACTAATGCCAAGATTCCTCCACCCATTGTATCATCACATAGCCAATCGTATCCTGAAAAAATAATACAAATATATTAGATTTAAATTAAATTATTTCAGTATTTTAAAGTTTGTTTTATTAGACATGTAAAATATGAGAAAAATATTCTATCACACAATAAGCAAATAATATTTTAAAATTAAAGTATTTTGTTGCAGATTATTTTCAAGTATGAAAATTAAAGATATTCTGTTTTTTCTTTATTGTATGTAAATAAAAAAGAAATAAAGCTTAATAATTCTCATAGAATTTTCTAATTTTTCTATATGCTTACCATTATGAAGTAAACTTCCCATGTGTACTCTTACTTCTATAATTGTTACAGATCCTCCCAAATATCCTTCTTCCAAAGCTTTCTTCATATGCACAAAGGCTGGTAAAAACCTTAAACTATGATTAACTATGCTAATTAGCGAGGGATAATATTGTGCAGCTCGTACCATCTTCAAAGCCTCGCTTTGACTCAAGCCTGCAGGTTTATCGCACACAACATGTTTTCCTATACCTAGCGCTTTAACAGCGATCTGTGAATGTAAGCTCGGTGAGCACATTATAAAAATTAGATCTACATCCTTCCTCAAAAGAACATCATCTATGCGACTAGTGTGAAAGGGTATTTCAAGATCGCTTGCCACTTTTGAGACTTCCGCCAGTGTGCGACCCCATATAGCCTCAATTCTGAAGCCCTTTTCTCTCAGAAAGGGTATAATAATTCGAACGATACTCCCTGTGCCAAACACTCCGATGCCAGGCAATGTCATCTTGAATGTATGAAAATATTTGGTATTTTCACTTTTCTTTCTTCACACTAAATTTTAATCTGTAATACAAGGCGAGTAGTTTTGCTCGTTTCAAGTAGACAATAAAATGCCTGGTAACTAAAATATTTTCAGTTTTGTCTGCGTAAGTTTAGCAATTGTATTTTTCCATTTTGAAATTCTTATGATATACATTGCGTCAACAAATGTATTTATGACAACTGGCAGCAATGACTGAAATCGCGCATGATCTAATTCACAAGTAAAAAACATAATTAAGGCTAACATGTATGTAAGTTTGGTGATAAAGTCTGTACTTTTTAGATCCAATGAAAATGTCATTGCATGATGTGCATCTTTATATATTTTTAGTCAATGGCTGCACCATTATCATTGATTAACCGAACTTTGCCGAAGATCGTCGGACATTCACGAGCAATTATTCCCACTTTGATCTGCTGTTCGCCTGCGTTCACCTTGCGGTATAATGTGTGCTTGTCATGTTTGTTCTCGCATTCGTTTAACTCTTTAAAATATGTAAATACGTAATCGAGTGATACGAATTGGTGGTGGGTGCAAAACTAGCTTTTGATTCAATCTTCTGCAATAGCAGATAATTATATATCATTAACGACGTGAGCTATGTCAGAGATACGCAAGAGAACGATCGGCGATGCGTCGGCAATATCACGGGATGTTAGCGACGATCAGGTAAACGAAAATTCTTCTATCGAATCTGTACATTAAAATGTCTGATCTTAGGTTTTACAATTGTTTGTCTCAATGACTGTCAATCTACGTTGTTTGTGCGATAGCCATTCCTTTGTTGACGAGTATTTGACAGCTAACAACATTAGAACGTGTCCATACTATTTTTAAAGTCGCTTTATACACACCATATACATATACATGTACACACACATATAAATGAATATATATATATATATATATATATATATATATATACTTGAGTGTACAAACAAATAATAATATTTGTTTCTTCAATCCTTCTTTTTCGCATGGTTTGACACAATCAATACCTTTTAAGTTAATTGTGCTAAATTAATTTTTTAAGAATTTTTTTCACATTTTAATGGAATGTTAATTAAAGTAATATTGAAATTTTTATGCAATTATAAAAACATTCACTTTCAAGCTGGAATGTATTTACAATTGTAAATAGCATTATCAGTATGAATGCCTGTACAATGTCCAGTTAATGTTCTGGTTTTTATTTTATTGCTCAAATTATATTTAAGATTTTTACTGAATTTAAGATTCAGATAAAAAACAACTACTAATAAAAAAACATTGATATAAATGTTAGAAAAAAAGTTTTGGATTATTTACAGTTTGCAAATAAAAAAAGTAATAAAAATATAATATTTATAAATACTTGTTTGAAATTTTTTTATTAACAAGCCATAATTTTATATTTAAAAATACACACATTATCATACATTTCAATTAAATTCTTTAAACTTTTTCTTATATCAAGCAATTCAACTTGTTAATGGTCACAAGACAATTGGAGAATATGAGTGGCGGTTTATGCGCATTGATTTGATTTAATCATTGTAGTAACGTCATTTCTATGTAATATATAATCCATATAGTATCCTACATAAAAATGTAATTTTATTTATATATTTTATTCAATTAATTTTTTGATATTAAAAAAATATAATAACTTTTATATTTTGATTAACATTGTATTATATCACACATAGTCATATAACAATACAAATATAATATTTTTAAAACTTTTAGAAAGAAGATGTTGAATCTGAAGATGATGCAAAATTAGAAGTAGAAGACTTAGCAAAGAGTTTACCTCAAGGGACTGACCATACGCCACATATTTTAAGTTCTGTTCTTTCTGGTCTTCCTGATCGGTAAAATATATATATATATTATTTGTCATATTTCTGTTTAAATTATTTTGATTCAATTAAATGAGTTTATTAAAATAATTAATGTTTCTGCTTTTGGTAGCTGGCGAAATTGGATAATTAGAACTATTTTTACTTGGTTCATGATAGCTGGATTTTGTCTTATTATTTATGGTGGTCCATTAGCATTGATGATTACAGTAAGTCTCCTTTTGAACATGGTTTAATACAATGAATCTTTCTTATATGTATATCTAAAATGATATTTATCTTTATAGACATTGATTGTGCAAGTAAAATGCTTTGAAGAAATTATCAATATTGGATATGCTGTATATAGGATTCATGGTCTACCGTGGTTCAGATCTTTATCGTGGTATTTTTTAATTACTTCCAATTACTTTTTTTATGGAGAAAATTTAATGGACTATTTCGCAGTGGTGATTAATCGTATAGTAAGTTTTACTTTTTTAACTTAAATTAGAAGTGATTATGTAATTTATAAAAAAATATTAATAGAATATTTTTCACACAATTTTACTGTTACTGTTATTCGCTTACAGTATTTTTTAATCATTTCTAATGTCTCGTTTATATATATCATGAATGTCAGATCAATAATAAAACCTTGACAAGCTTTATCTCTATAGTTTTGCTATGGCTTCATCATTTTCTGAGGCTTCTTTGTTAAAATTGTTTAATATAAAAATAACAGAATGGAAAATAATAAAAAAAGTTAAAAAATCAATACATTATAAACAACACGTTTAATGTAAATGATTATGATTTTTGTCTCTAGGGATATCTGCGTGTGCTTGTTACATACCATCGTTTTATTTCATTCTGTCTTTACATCGTTGGTTTTATATGGTTTGTACTTTCACTCGTGAAAAAATATTATATGAAGCAGTTTTCCCTATTTGCTTGGACACACGTTGCGTTACTTATTGTTGTGACACAGAGTTATCTTATTATACAAAATATATTCGAAGGATTGATATGGTATGTATCATACTACTACAATTATTACTATAATTTTCTATATTAAAGTATACAAGTATTCACATTCAATTGTACTGCTTTTAGGTTTATTGTCCCTGTTAGTATGATTGTGATAAATGATGTGATGGCATATATGTTCGGTTTCTTCTTTGGGCGAACACCATTAATAAAATTATCTCCGAAAAAGACTTGGGAGGGATTCATCGGTGGTGGTATCTCAACTGTCATACTTGGATTGATGGTAATGTGTTCACAAATAGTAAATAAAAATAAGATTATTTATATATCACATACTAAAATAATATCGTTGTTTAGATATCTTATGTGATGTGTCAGTACCGCTATTTCGTCTGCCCTATTGAATACAGTGAAACTTTAGGAAGAATGACTATGGATTGCGAACCATCGAGTCTGTTCCAACCGCAAGAGTATACATTGCCAAACTGTCTTCAAGTAATATCGAGAGTGGTAATCTATCTCCATATGTAATATGTAGAGTCCGACCGAAATCACTTTTTTTAGTTTCGGCCGAAACCGAAAACGAATATTCGGTTTTTACTCAATTTCGGCCGAAACCGAAACAGAAACCGAAATTTTTGGAGGAGTTTTATAAAAAGCTATATGATTTTTAAAAAACCGTTGGAAAATGTGTAAAATTTATGTACTGTTTTAAAAACATGATTTTATTAATATCTTATTAAAATATAAAGTATTTTTTACAAATAAAACGCAATATTATAAAATAAAAAATAATATATAATAGAGTCCGATCGAAACCACTTTTTTTAGTTTCGGCCGAAATCGAAATTAAGCCGAAGCCTTGATTTTTGGCCGAAACTGGCCGTAATCGAAACCGAAACCGAAATTTCGGTCGGACTCTAGTAATATGTAATATTTAAATCTTATATAGAACGGTATTTAATAATTTTTTAATATTTGTGCAGATTAATGGAAAATCTACTTTAACAGTATATCCATTTATGTTACATTCATTGTCACTGTCAATATTCAGTTCTGTAATTGGACCATTTGGAGGATTCTTTGCTAGTGGATTTAAACGAGCGTTCAAAATTAAGGTAATTGAATATTATATCAATTGACTTGTTAATTTACGATACAATAATATCTTATTCTGGAATACTTACTTATGGATGACTGATTTATGGATTGTAGGACTTTGGTGATGTAATTCCTGGTCATGGCGGAATAATGGACAGATTCGATTGTCAGTATTTAATGGCAACATTTGTGAATGTTTATATTTCTTCATTTATTCATACTGCATCACCGCAAAAACTACTACAACAGGTAAAGTAATAAGAAAAGTTGTTTAATTAATCTAGACTATTTTTTTGTTTAAAATATAAGATTTTAACGCATTGTAATAAAAAAGATGTGAATTCTAAAATGTTCTAGGTCTACCAAATTTAATAGTATAAAATTTCAGTGCTTAAAATTGAATAAAATGTACATTTTAATATACATTTTATTCACTTTACATTGCAATGCATTGAAATCTTATATTTTAAAGAAAGAAATGGTCTAGAATGTTACAGTGTATATTTTATTTATTTTTATATCTTATAACATTTTTTTTAGATCGTCTTTAAGATGTCTATTTTTTTTTAATTTGGCATTCAAAAATATAATTCTTTAATATATATGTTTTTCGCTCTAGGTTTATAGTCTGAAACCAGAACAGCAGCTTCAACTTTTCCAAACACTAAAAGATTCATTGGAAAATAGGGGTATGCTAAATGCTTATTAATTATAAGTTAAATGTATTTAATGGCAAAACTGCTGCAGGGATTATTTTATCTACTAAAAAATGTTGGAAAAGATTTTCCTTTATCTTTTCTAATATTTAAAAGACGTTATACGCAAATGACAATGCAATCCAGTAATCAAGTAATTATAATAATTTGTTGAACTATGACAATGAAGTTTATTTTGTGATTATAGATAATGGTCATCATTATATGATAGGCCTGTCTAATTGAAATTGATGTGGCCAGAGATGACATAATTTCTTCCCCTAATTTTTTGTAAAATGTAAATATAATGTATTTTGATATTTTAGGAATAGAATCTTTTCTATCTTACTTGGTTTACTGTCCGAATTTAAAAAAAATATCCGAAATATAAATTTTTTTTGATGTCACAAAATATTTTATTACATAAAGTCAAGAACTTCTTTCGTTATGCACTGATAAAACCTATGATATATAAATCATATATATTGCAATATAGATAAGATGTGTATTTTTGTGATTAACTCTGGCCTAAGAATAATCAGTTGGAAAGATCTATCATAATTTTAGCTAATTTTTGTGCATTCCATATTGTATAGTTGAAGTTCTGTCAAATGCAGTAGTTTATATTAAACTATGGCATTGTTGCAAATAATTGTTGCCGTATTATTTTTGTCCAAAAGCTAAACCAAAGAAAATCGCATTATAAAGAATCTATGATACATAACAGCATTTAAAATTTTTATTTTCTAAAACATTTACTTATTATTTCTGATTGGATATTGCAAAACATAGACCAAGCATCAAATATATATTTATTTATGTACTCTATTTAAACCAGGTTTCTTCAATTAAATTTTGTAATAATAAAGCGGATCTCAACGCAGTTTCTATTTGTAATTGTGCATTTAAAATCTGATATAATGAAAATATCTCTTGTTTGTATATATGCACACATTGTTTTTCTTTTTACTTAGAATTTACATTTATAAAAATGTTAACAATTACGGATAATCTCTATTTTGGTTAAATGTGTCTTTCTAAATTAAAATTATAATGTTCATTGCTATGTAAGGGAAAATATTTAACCAATATAATTCATATATACATACGTTGATGTGTTAGGTGGATGGTTCTATTCAGAAGTTTAGCATTATGTTTCCTTCCATTTTGAACGAATAAAATTTTTATTCGTTCAGCGGTATTAATATTAAGATTAATTTTTATTTAGACTACATTCTAATAAAGGTATTTCAGTTTGTTTGCATTACTATTCATTTTTACTGTTATCAAAACATTAGCAGTATGCGAGCAGTACCTGAAAACCGGTGAGAGATAGCGTTGAATATATTTATTATATTCAGATAAAGATTTTAAGATTTTCCTACCGTAAGCGTATATTCAAAAGTAGTTGCATATCCCATATGAAACATCTTGCCAATTTATAAGAAGGCATTGCTCGGAATTCAAGGCTTATTACGGGCATTGCAGAAATCATTTAGCCGCTATTCTTGTGATTATAGTACTTACGTTACATACATAATGCTAAACTTTAAAACATTAATTTATCGCGACCATTACATGCGTACAGAATACGACGAAAATTGTGACATCCCGCTTATACCACAATTTTTGCCGTACTTTGTGATACATAGTGAGAAAGCTTATTTAAAATGATTAATCAGACAAAAAATCTAACTCCATTTATTAATTATCGTTTCCATCAAGCTAGAAAATAAGATGAAGAAATTAATGGAAATGGATTTGTCTGCCATGTTTGTAATAGCGTAGCGAACGACTGTGTATATTGTATAATTGATAAAAACATGATCAAGCTATCATAATTATCTATTTTGCCTTGTCATACAGTATATGAAAACATACGAGCGTTGATTGAGAAATTATTTTAAGAATGAATGCTTTTAACAGATAAGTTATTGTGCTTCAAGTTAGTTTCAGTACTATCCATAATTGTGCCAACTGCGCTTGGTAAATAAATATTCTTACATAAATTATATTATATGTACTGAATTGATAAATGGCACAATTTAAAAATAACTAGGTGATTAGATTAATACAAATCATGTATTTTATATTAAAATATACTCAGATCTGAATATAGTGTTTTGATTAAAATCTTTAAAATATATTAAACCGATTATGATAAATTTGTATTTATCTCTTGCACTTTGTATTCCGATTTTCTCTAGTTTCAGTATTCCTATTATGTGCATTGAGATATGTTTAATCAAGATCTGAGTATAAAAATTTATTATGAAAAGAGTATAGAGTATTTCAGAACTGTGGATTAAGACAATTGTCTAGTAATACTCGTTAAAGCAAACAAAAAAGTCTCAATAAACATAGTTCATAAACTAATTATTTTTTAAATATTCAACTTTTTAATATTTTGAAGTTATTTAGTTTATTGAGGCTTTTTTGTTTATTTTTACTTTTCTATTACGTCTTGATTCATAATTCTGAAATACTCTCTATACTCTGAATATTAATTATAGTATACTTAATTTAAAAATGAGTTTAGAGATTCTTTTTTATAGTGAAAACTTACAAGATATTAGATAATCAAGAGAAATTTAATAATAGATAAATGGATCAGATATACGTATATTTATTTAATAGAAAACAAAAGAAATATATATATATATATATATACATGTATAGATGGAAGTTATGTAAAAAATGTGTTACAAAATATATAAAACCTTGGATTCAAAGTGACTTAAATTTTATTACATAATATATTTATGTATAGCAAAAAATAAATTCTTGAAAAATTAATGTTACATGAATGTTTTATTTATTTTTTTATTTTTCTGATTCTCTTCATATATAAAAATATCAAAAGCGTCCATTCTATTTGACGAACCACAGTACACAATTGTCCAATTCGGTTTTTTAGTTCTAATAACGTCCACTGCAAGTTTTAGTGGCAGTGCTTGACCTAAAATAGTAGTACGAATCATTGATAAGTTGGATGGTGATTTTTTTTCAGGTGAACTGTGTTTTCTTTATGCAAAAAATGGGATTAAAAATGCAAATACAAATTCTCTAACACTATGTTGATATATTAAAACTTGAATATTTAATTCCTAAAATTTATGTTGAAAACAGATTAAGAAAATGTGAGAAGCTGTCTACTGTGTAAAGGTTAGAAACGTCTGTCAAGCCTAAAGGACTATTTATTTGTCTACAATCTGAACATTGTGGAGTAATTAACGATAATGGGTTTATTAACGGTGCTAAAAAAATTGAAGCAGAAAGAAAAGGAGATGCGAATTTTAATGTTGTATGTATACATATTTATGTATCTATTTTATATATCCAGTTTGTGGTTAATTTATGCATTGACAAGTTAATAAATTTTATGTTAATTAAGCTTGCAGTATTAAATAATGAAAGACTAAATTTAATAACATTTTGAAGTTATATTATTATGTGCATTTTACTATTTCTTTTAGCATCATGTTCAATTATTTTAATATGAAAATTTATCGTTTCAGAGGTTTGGACAATGCGGGCAAGACAACAGTGTTAAAACGACTTAATGGCGAACCAATAGATACTATATCGCCTACGCTTGGCTTTAACATTAAGACATTGGAACATCGTGGATACAAACTCAATATATGGGATGTTGGTGGACAAAAATCATTGCGTTCATATTGGAGAAATTATTTTGAATCTACAGATGGTCTTGTATGGGTAATAGACAGCGCAGACAGAAGGAGATTGGATGATTGCAAAGCAGAGTTATATAAGCTTCTGCAGGAGGAAAGATTGGAAGGAGCAAGTCTTCTTGTGTTTGCCAATAAACAAGACATGCCTGGTGCATTATCTGCATCTGATATAGCGGAAATTCTGGAATTACCTAATATAAAAACTCACCACTGGCAAATTTATAAGTGTTCTGCTGTAACGGGTGAAAATCTAGTGGATGGCATTAATTGGATTGTTGATGATATTGCAGCAAGAATATTTTATTTAGATTAAAATAAATTCAAATTTTTATATTTCTTACTTTGTTAAATGTAAAAATGGTGCTTAACTTTTACAAAATGATATATTGTAATCTACATTATTCTGTGAAAAAAATGTAACACATTATACAAAGAGATTTCAAGATTTATTCTAGTTTATTATACAATAGTATAATGTGCATCTTTTTTGTATATATTTAAAGTCACTCTGTCTACAAATTTAAAAAGTTTTGTATTAGATAATAAATAAAATAGTTAATAATTTTTTTACAATTTATTTAGGCATATTTTTATTATTTTTTTAAAAATCTTTAACAAATAAAAGCAAAAACTTTTCTCCAAAAAAATAGACATATTACTAATAGATATTAAGATAAAAATGCATGATAATATATATTATGATTAGAGCCATATTAAAATTTAATTTTCATATTTTTTTAGTGTTTTCTTGAAATTTTATTTTCTTCTGCAGTTTTAGTTCACCGTTGCTTCTGAAAACTCCTTTACATAAAATGATTTTAATTGTCCTTGATCGACAGTACCTCTTGGCCCCTCAAATGCAAGCATAATTTCATTGATGAGTGATTTTGAAAGTTTTAGTTTAAATTTCTTTATTAACGCCATAAATTTCTCTAAAAAAATGAGAAAAGTTTTTTTAATTTTCTTAAAATACTTATATAATATAATATAATATACGAGTTTTATTTTTTTACTTCACATAAATTCTCATGAAAAAAGTAAGAGAGTCTAAAAAGAATTCTCACGAAATATACCTTGCGAAATCATTTTATCACTCAACGACATTACGAAATGGCCAAAGTTACGTTTTCTCCTTTTTATTTTTGGTGCCATTGCTTCGTAATTTGCTCTTTTCAAAAGTATTTTCTTAATATCTGGTCCAACGAGTTGATAATTGCTTAGAATACCACGTAACTTGACTTTGACTTCGGGTTTGAGCATTTTGATTGCCTCCAACTCGTGAAGAATATCCTTATTCGCCCAAACGTTCTCCAAATCCAGAAGATGTAAAACATTGTCAGGTGATACATGTGGAGTGATCGCATGAACCAGAGCTAAAGCACCTTCTGCTTTTACAGGATTGTTTCCCAAATATAATTCTTGGAGCGTATTATTTGTAGACAGAGCTTTTGCGATCCGTATAGCGTCTTTTTCGGTGAATCTATTGCCTATGAATCGTGAAGAAAATATTTAACATTTGATAAAGCTTAAATAATTTAATCAATCTAAAACGAAAGTGTCAGTGAGCTCATGAGCCACAGCCGTTCGTGCTGTTAATTACAATTGTACCTAATAAAGATAATATTTGCTATCTAAATTTATTTGTCGGATAAAAATAATTTAATTAATTGTGTTATAAATGTTCATATTTCACACCTGTTTCTATTTTAGATCTTATCACTATTTAAAAATAGATATATAAACTTTCAAGAATGAATCATTCTTTGGATAAAAATTATTCTTAAAAGAATTTTTTTTTTCTTATAATCGACATATATTTTGTTTATCATATGATACATATTTACAACTTAAGTCCAACTTGTCAATGCTCCGTGAACGCGATAATAATTGAGATAGATAAGGCAAGCACTCTACTCCAAGTCCGTTCCAAGATAAATTTAGAGAACGCAGTGTCTCGTTTTTCTCGAACCCCTTGATCAAAGTTTTCCAAGTTTTAGCACTATACAAAGAGTTCCAGAATAAATTTAGATGCGTCAAAGTTTCATTGTATGATAGTAGATTTCGTAGATTTTCGGCGCACGACTCGTCCAGATTATTATTCGATAAATCAATGCTTTCTAAACCCTGATTATTTGATAATGCAGACGCAATGTACTCGAAGCCTTCATTTCCGATATTGCAGTTGCTGAGATCAAGCGTCTTCAGGGTCGCGTTCGTCGATATTGCATTGTATAATTTTTCCGCACCGCTCGCGCCAATTTGGCAACCCGATAGCGACAAATTAATTATCATACTGTTCCTAAGCAGCAAATTGTTTAGGTGTTTGCATGCGTCTGCAGATAGTTTATTGTCCTGCAACATATAAAAATATAATTATTAGTAAACCAAACATGTACTATTAACTGACGCAATTGAGCTAATGTTTACGTTATAAAGATTAGAGTTCATTTCTAAGCTGTCAAAAAAGAATGTTTAGCAAATAATTTTTATTTTTTTAAATATTTGAATGTAGAACAGTTTAGAAATAAGTTTTGATCGAAAAATAGACCTACAAATTTTATGACAATTTATTATTGAAAATCAGATATTTTTTGTACCTTGAGGTCCACTTTTCGTACATAAGTATTGTCCATCAGAGCCTCGCAGATCGCTCTCATTACTTGGGATTCGAGTCCGTAGTATCGTAAATCTATCTGATCGGTTATAAGCAGATCCTTTAACGAAGCAATCGACCTTATACCAGCACGCTTTACCATGTCGTAAAATTTCTGCACACCATCCGTGCCGTAGATCGGCGGGCGTTCGCGTAGCAGCCAGAAAGCTGGCGATAATCCGGGGTCATCTGGGACTCGGTACACCGTGTACGGATTCAGTATCTTCAGCTGAGATTCGCTGATATCTATCTCGCGCAAACACGGATGAACCAAGCTCTCAGTGGAGACTCGATCGCTCACTGTAAGTTCATCTTCCGGCGTAATTATCGTCTCCACAGACACGTCTCTCTTCCTTTCTTCTTCGACCTGTTTTATATATTGTATTAACTAACTAGAGATTAAAAAATAATTAAATCAATGTTCTTATTTACTCTTGCACTGCCCTAACTTAATCTTCAGGGCGTTAAAATACTTAACATCTAATCAAATCTAATAACAGAAGATGTTGCAATATAGAACGTTTTGTATCTGCTACAAACTCAAGTTACACCAATCAGATACCGCAGTTGCTTTTTCTTTTCTTCAGCTTTTTCTTTCTTGGCTGCTAATTCCTGCATTCTCCTTGTCTCGAATCTCCTCATATAATCTGCTAATATGATAGTCTCATCGATCACTTCTGATTCTGCTTCGACTGATTCCTTCTCTTCCTCTTTTCCTCTTCAGCGGATTCAATTTCGTCTTCGTCATCTTCAGTCGACATATCCATTTCTGCATATTCCAAAGCTTCATCCTCGGAATCATCCTCAACGTATTCTAATGTCTAAATAACATTCACAGATTCATATAAAATTATTTCTAATTATTATTTATTTCGACAATGTATGTAAAATTTTATTTTAAACATATAAAATGTCTAGCAATTCGCTCTGGCATATTTATATTTATTCTTTCAGCTGTCGAAGAAAAATATAATTTATGCAGGACATTGT